TATATACTATTACAATAGTATATATATATATTAAATGTTATCAACGTTGCTATTATTCTAATGCTCGGACAACTGGCGTGACGATCTGAATGTTGGTCATATTATTGGAATGTGCCAAGACCATCATCCTTGTGCTATATGTTTTCAGACAGTGGTCACTGCCTACCTATACAGTCCTTTTCGAAGGCGCTAAGGCAGTATAATTTTACAGAGAAAAAGGAAAACACCGACGAAATTCGTATATGGTTTGTTTAAACATATCTGTATTTTTTGTAAAGGAATTTCAAAAAACAGCTTTATTTGGGTGATTTTACGGGTATTATCGAAATCGTCCGAATCGTTAATCATCTGAGCAGCTGTGTTACTACTGAGAGTAGTGCATCCAGAATAATCCTGACAAGTTCTACCTGACTCTACTATGGAAACTGATTTCCTCAACTTATAGCTTGAATATTCCCTCAGTTCTCTAGATTCGAAAAAGCGGCATGTTTTATGCGAAAAAAGAGAAAAATCTACATTTCACCAATAGTTTACCTGTTGCAAGTTGTGTGTAACAGATTGTAAAATAGCTTTTAACATAGGAAACGATAGAACGACGTCAACCAAGTGGAAGGCATAGAAAAATGGTGACACAAAGACACCACATGCTGAGCATAACAAGTAATGCACTCGATACAGAAACTGACCATTGGTCAGAATGACTCCAAGCCAGAGCCAACAGGTGTATCTAAATAAAAAGAGTGTGGACATTAGAAATACAAAGCAAAATCACTATATTTCAACAAAAACTCGCAAATGGTCATCAATTTACTTCGCACGGAAGGGAACATCAGTAGTTTTATCAAAAATTATCTGTTGCCATTAAATGTTCAGTTAAATGGTGCCATGATTAAGCTTAGGCAGAATTATAAAGGCTGGCCAGTTACGACTTATGTTATAAATATCTAGGACCGAAAACTATAGTATATGCGAAAAAATAATAATTTAGTTGAGAAAAAGATGTTTTATTCATTAAGCTGTATACATCTGAATTCAGCATCACAACTGAATCTTATTAGTATAATGATTATGGCATAAATTATTACATTACAAATAAATAAAGATTAATGAGATGAGAAAAAATTAAAGCAGCTGTAAAGGGGAGAGATGGGAGTAGGGGGTAGGAAGAAACTGTTCTTAGAATTCTGATTTAAAAGTATGGTTTTCAAACAGCGATCATACTTTTAAATCAAAGTTCAAACGTTTTTTAAATGGTTTCTAGTACAAGCTTGCTTTTAAGCAGCTTTTGGAATAGGGACCGACAGATACTCCCAACTGGCATATCCTGCCACCGGGCAAATTTTGCATGCCTCCGTCTCTCAGACAGAGTGCACGAAGGGAGTTTTGGTTACTGACTTCACACAGTACTGATTTTCTGAGCCCAGCTATGATATATTTAGAAAAAATTGAAAAGAAATAAGTAGAAGAACCTGTAGTCAAAGGTGGTATCAGTAGCTGGCCTATCTTCACCCAAAACAAGAATTAGAGTTTCCTCATCCACTTGGTCGCGGAACTTTTGTTTCGTTTTTCGGCGAACAAATTTATCCCAGTATTTCATGGGAAACGATTTCGAACTGATTACAATCCGATCGATATACCTGAATGGAACGGATGGATTAAAACCCATTTGAGACGATGTAACAGATTCAGCCGTAGAACTCGTTGTATTAGTCAATAAGGCATACTCCAAGGCTCTGGAGAAGGTTTGTTTTAGATGTATCACGGCCAAAAACAACCGTTTATGTCGACAGCAGATTTTTGCTGGAATTAGTTGATAAAGTGATTTTACTTGACTTTTCAGATGACCATCAAAGACAATAATCCAGTGAAGAAGTTTTATCGAAGAATTATCCCTTATATCGCTTCCGAGTACCTCCATCTGCCTTTGACAGCTAAAAATGCCTCTCACAGAGAGAAAAAAAATTGGCCAACGCACGGGCTGCCCGTGCGAAGATGCGTTTTTTGCAGAGTTCCCCGC